AAAAAAACCACACTGAACAGAATAAAAACTGACTCTCAACGGCCATCTTTAAAAAGTTTCATAAAAAACTATAGTAGTTTTGAATAACTCTAAACTAAAATAGTAGTTTAGAAACCTATTTAAGATAGCCATAACAATTGTTGTTAAAATAAAAGTTTATAGTTAATTATTTTTATATTTATTTAATATATTTTTTGTGATTCCTTCACGGAGCTTGTGTATATTTTCGAAACCAGTGTGTATGCATCTTCACTAAATTTTAACATGCGACTGTCCATTAATTATGTATCATTTTGTATCAATTATCAACAATTTTGGCGATTTTTTCCCCTCCCCAACTTCCAACAACCTCCCTTTAAAAATTACGTCAACATTCTATTGCCTCCCCCCCCCCTCCTCCTCCTCTACCATTTTAAATCAAGTTAAAATAGAATAAAAATAAAAACAAGTTTCCAGTCTATAAGGTCTTACAGTAAACAAATAAAAGATTAATGGGTTCTCAAAAATATATACACATTACACGTTTAAATTATGAACATATTTTTAGCTTCATATCTTAATATTTTTTTAAAACAAACTATAAATACTTTTTTAAATTATTTACATATTTTTCTATCAGCAGTAATAACAAAATACAAGTTTTTAATTAATTGGCAACAAGTTAAATTACAGCATTTGGTAATTTGTAGAAAATACTGGCTTGTTCTTATATGGTTTTAGAGCCAAACTTGATCTTTGATTATTAAATTTTTTTACCTTCAAGCTCAAACTTTTCAGTCACAGTTTGCTTTGCCACTGTTTGAAAATTTCATATGTTTACTTCAATGGTTCCATATTTCTGACAATGTTTCACCAAGATGTTTGTTCAACCTTGTGTGCTTATTCGTAGAGTTTTAGTTTTCCTGGATGGGGCTTGAACTATTTGGTAGATGTTGAAAATATATAATAAGAAATTACAAGTCTTTTAAATGAGAATAAAAATATAATTTATTTTTTCTAGTAAAATGTGTTCATGCGTTTAGTGACACGCATTATAAAATCAAATGATTAAGATCAAGAGTGTATGTAAAATTGCAATGGCATGTTGCAATTGTAAGTGTAGTGCGAATGTAATTGCAATGGCAATTTAAAGAGTAGGATGATTCAATCGCTCTTGATTGTAGAACGCAAATAAGCCTTTAGTTTATGAAGACAAGAAAAAGAGCGCTCATATGTACAGGAGGCGACAGGCATAGTAAAATCTTCACTAACTTCACAAACTCGGGAATCAGTGAAATTAATTGAGAAAGGACACCATCATGGTCTACATGCTCACTCAAAACTGATTCAAGACCATTTAGTTCAATATTCTTGAATTTGACATGATCCATAAATAAATATCAATGCTGTTTTAGCCATCTATATTCTTCAAAGTCTGCATCTCATAGACCTTAAAGCAAATATCCACCCGGGCTTCTTTTAACACCTCCTTAAGCGTGTTGATGGTATTTTTTGCTTGCAAAAGTTAAACTGCATGCCTAAAATGTTTTTCAAAAGTTTAATATTATAATTTGCCTATAATATATTTAAAAAAAACACTTTGAAAGAAGACAATACTTACCTTGGAGAGCTATATTGGCATCCTCACTTATTGTGAAGATCATGCGCAAAATTTCCAATATGAAAAAAGTGTCAAACTTATAAAAATATTCTAGATAATTGTTGTTTCTAACTTATTTTTGGCTGAATTATCAAAATAATTTTCAAAATCTTCTTATCATCTGATGATGGCGGAATAGGTTACTTGCAGTAGATTTAATGGGTAGTTTTTAAAGGATCCATCAAATGGGGCAAATTGGCTGAAGTGATGTTCCACTTTCAACAATTTCTACATTTCAAAATTTATTGAAACATGGCAGGCGTTTTGGAGATCCGCTGGTAAATACGATGAATGATTGCACTAGAATCATTATATTCCTGATCTCTGTTTGATTTTCAACAGAATCTTGTGCTACCAAGTTGAGATTAGGAGTGCGGCAGTGTATGTAAAGTGCTCGTTCTACTTCTCCCCTTATTAAAGTCTATGCATAGATACTTCTAGACATGTTTGACAATCCGTCAAAACATTAGTCACGACAATTTTTTTTTTTTTTAAATATATTTCGCTGTTTATATAAAAATAAAATAATAAAATTACAATGAAACTTTTACATTACACAAAGAATATATATAAAACAGACAGGGGCTCAAAGAAGATAAGGATGACTGGTGTCACCACAATCTTTTCATTGACCCCCTTTACAATATCATTTAAAGCCCACATGGCTTTAGAAAATTTACAACAAGTATTTTTTCCGTTAAATACTACGTGAAGAGTAAAGAAAAACTCATATATACATATATACTCATATATACATATACCCATAAAAATACACACATAAACAAACATACTTAAATATATGTCAGAAATTCTAAATCAACAGGCTAAATCGATACAAAACGTCCATCAAACAGTTTAACAAAAAATTATTTCCTCGTAGTCATGTAAAACCCTTTAATATTTTTTATTCCAATTTTATTGGAATAAAAAATATTAAAGGGTTTTACATGACTACGACGTGGACTCAACAATAGCAGTTGAATCAGTTGCATCATCTGACTGAACGAATGATAAACTATTATCAGTATTATCTTGGAAGTTATTATTAGAAGTTAGCATTTTCAGATTCAGAAAAAGATGCAACTGTTCCAATTTGATTTTCTCTTCTTGAAAAGTATTCACTAATCTTCTTCATTGTACAACGTACAACTTAAAGGTCAATATATTGTTGAACAGTTAAAAAATCTCTTCAAAATTTTTAACTAAAACGAAAAAGACTTAAAAATAGTTAATACAAATAATACTGGAAACTAAGTTATCAACTCTGAACGCAAGAAAAAGTTATCAACTCTGAACGCAAGAAAATAATACTGGAAACTAAGTTATCAACTCTGAACGCAAGAAAAAGTTATCAACTCTGAACGCAAGAAAAAGTTATCAACTCTGAACGCAAGAAAAAGTTATCAACTCTGAACGCAAGAAAAAGTTATCAACTCTGAACGCAAGAAAAAAAGTACTAAATGAACGTTTAACTCACAAAACCATCGATTCTTTAGTTTTTGTTGTTGCATTTGTTTGTTTTTTGTAACATTTTTACCGATCTCAAACTCCCTGGATACTTATCGTAAGCGTGGAATTTCTAAAATTTGACAAAATAACTTTGCAACAAACTTTTGAAAATGATCATAAATGTTTACGGAAATATTTCTATTGTTTTTAAATTATTATAGTAATTATTGTTTAAGTATATTATTTTTTTTTTTTTTTTAATATTTTTAAACGCTTGGTGAATTTTTCCGGTGGGGCTGAGCCCAAGCGACGAATTTTCGAATGGTGCTTGAGCCCCCAAGCCCCAGCGCCTTCTACGACTTTGCTTGTGTGTCAAGATGTCTTACAAAATGTTAATGTGGCAAAGTTAGTTCTAAAGATTCTCAGCTAGGCGGAGCCTTTGCCGAGAATCTTCAGAACCTTTCTACTCAATTAAACGCACAATGGCTAAATAAGTTTGGCCTGAAATTGGTTTTCAATGCCAGTATAAACAGATGGTATGAGTTTGTGTCTAAATGCTTCTACTCAGCTGTGGTGAAGTTGTGATGACCCGTTTGTTTTAACAGTAAATCATTTTGTGCTTGAATTAAATTCACTGGTACAGTAGTTACATGGCATTTGCCTTTCAATTATAAACTTTGTTTTAGCAAGAGCCAAGTATATTAAGCACTACTACTTTCTTTTTGAAAATCGTAAATCTTTATCTGTTATGTTAGTTCATTGAGATTTCAACACCACAATAAATATCACTCTGTCTTTTGTCATGAGCAACACATTCACTAGAGTGTTGACTTTTTGGTAAATTTTTGGTATCTCCAGTTTCCTGTATAAAAAACTTAGTTAATCTTTTTTACTGAAACATTTTAATAAAAAAATATTGCAAATAAAATGTTAAAACGACCTTGTTTAATTTTTAGTTAAAAATTTTTGTTTTTTTGTATATGATATTTAAGCAATTCATTTTTATTTGAAACCTTATTATTTCTGAAATCTCTATAAAATATTGGTTCTTTTGAGACACAGGTTGATATACTTTTAAAAAAAAAAAAATTTACTGATATATGGGAGCCAGTGTGAAATCAATGACTTTTCTGTTACTTTCAAACCAAAGTTCATCTGTTTTTTACAGGAAACTAGAGATACCAAAAAGTCAACATCCTAATGCTCATACAATGCAATGTCAACAATGATGTTTAAAAAAAAAGCCATTTATATCGCTCTTGAAGATGCTTATCTGACTCTGTAACTTATTTATTTAGTTTTAAATAAAACCAGGTAAGTGGAACATTTTGAGATGTTTAAATTTTGTTTTTAGTGAATTTATTTCTTTCGTTTTTTTTTTTTTTTTTTTTTTTTTTTAATTTTTCAGCTGTTATTAAAACTTTAGTTTTCTTTCCAAATAATAAGTGGAAAAACTAATTTTTTTTTTAATCAAAATTTAGATTTTGTGAACTTTTATTTGAAACGTTTTAAATTCCTTTAATATTTTTTCTTTCTTTTTGTTTTTCTTTTTTTTTGAAAAAAATTTTTCATAGAAAATAACTTTTTAAATATTTTTTTTTGTAACAAAAAGAATTGAACTTAAAGCTCATGCACAAGTTTACTCAAAGAGTCGGATATTGTTATTGTTAAAAAAAATAATTCTCTAACCAATGTTTGATTAAGGGCAGTTGTATTTAAGTTTACTTTGAAGTGTTGAGTTAACTTGGAGTTTTGGAGTGTAGCATTGTTTATTAAACAAGCTTTTTGATACACATGCACCTTTATTTGATTTATTTGCACTCATTTTAGACAGGTGCAGGATTTTCGTATAACTAAATAAAAATTTGAGAATATTGATTCCCAAAACAATGCTGTAAATTATAAAAACAAATTTGAACAATATTTTGTATTTAATAAATTAATATTATACAAGTGATATTGGGAATATGATGCAGACAAGGCTTTCTCCTTTTTCATCTTTTAACTCCCAACTGACAGGTAAGTTTATCTAAAAAAACAAATATTAAAAACTGTAGTGGTAATATTTTGAAATTTACCTTTTTCTTTTGACACAATTCGTCAAATTAGCAATATTTTAAAAAAATTTTTGTTAAAATTTCAAGTAGCAAATGTCAAGTAGGAAAATATATTTAGCGTAACCAAACCCTAAACCAAAGTCTACGACCATAACTACGATTAGTCGACCAGAAAAATTTATGTGCTTTACTTTAACTTTAAGGGATTGCTCATGTGTAGCCATCACATTTATGATGGTCACACAGTCATAATTATAATAATCATAAGACCATATATGGCCATATTATTTTCATCTTTCAAATTAAAAACAATAAACAGTTAACGGCGCATGATTAACACTAATTTTTTTGTCAGACAACGTTTAGTGCTGTCGGGTGTATTCACCAACCAATCTCTTTAATTTATTCTCTTATGATTTTTTTCTTTTTGATTTTGATGTTTATTTTCTAAAATTTCTTTTAATTTTTATCTGCAGCTTTACATTAATACAGAAAAATTAATTGGAAACAAAAGACTTGGAAAACTTACTTTTGGGTAACTCTCTGAAATAGGTAAACTATATTGATAAGTGTATTTTTGAGATGATTTAATAGGACACGTCAAGCCTTCGTTATTGCATGCATCAGGTTGGGATAGTGGAAACGGAACCCATATTGGACCAATTTTTCCTTTTACAACTGTTGTTAACTTATCAGCATCTTTAGCTGCCGTAAAACTAATCTCGATATTAGCACTTCCTCCTCTTTGAAACGCGCAAGGTTGTTTATCACAAGGACTTATTGCGACGTCACCAACTGTTGAGCCTGGTTATATACATACATACATTGGTTATATTTAATTTTAATTTAGTTGTAGAAAAAATCAATTAAAAACCATAACTTACTCATGTCACAAGGTTTATATTTAATAATCATACACTGAGATACTGCAATGAGCATAAATCCAAAAAGAATCTTCATGGTTAGAATTTTTAATCCTACCAAAAAGAATTTAATTTACGCATATATATATATATATATATATATATATATATATATATATATATATATATATATATATATATATATATATATATATATATATATATATATATATATTTATATATATATTTATGCATCAAGTTATCAATAACTATTGAAATCTCGTCTACATCTATTTAAATCTTGTTAACTAAAATCCGTAACAAACAATTTTTTTTTTTAATTTTTTGAGAAGAAAGAAAAACGGGTCATTTATTGAAAAGTTTATCTGTCAATCAAATTGCACAAATGGATTTGTTTTTTCAGTTTTGAAAGATGTTGTTTGCCTAACATTGTAACAATTTGTGGTCTTATTTAATTACTTCAAGGTGCTTTTTTTAAACACATCCCGCTTAATAGAAGGTGTGTATGAAACGATTGAAAGGCGGGTATATATTTTTTACTCGACTCTGCTGAATGTTTTTTTCTGAAATTCTGTATTGATGATGTATTTCATCACTAAAATTGATTTATATGCAGCTCAACAAAAATAAATTATTTTAACAAAGTTTAATAATAACAATGTATAATAAAAGAGCGCATTTTAAAATTCTACTTTATCTTTTTTGTTAAGTGAATTAAGCTAATAATATACATAGTCAAGGACACAATTGTGTTGAGTTTATTAAAATATACATTTTGTTTATCTTGTTAATACAGAAAGTACCAGAATATAAAGATTTCTTATAAACACATAATAAAGTAATAAATTAATGAACAAATAACCAACTAATAAAATGTAATAATAAAATAAATTAATTTAATAAGTTTATAAAAAGTTTATAAACTTTCTAGATTAGAATTTATGAGGAGCTTTATTAGGACAGTTTTATATGAAATAGCGTTGTCTTCATGTATAGGAAACATAGATGTGGAATAAGTGTAAGTATGGTTAAAACAAACAAACACTTTTCCGTGTAACAAAGAAAAGATAAAAGCAGCTTGTATAACTGGACCACCCACATTTTGCGTTTATTGGAGCATCATAATAGAGTATGAAGTTAGAGCAATTGAAATTTAAGTAAAAACTAAATTAAATTGGAAATAAAACTTTTTATAAATAAAATAAAAATGGATGACAGCAATAGGGTCAAAAAAAGAACTTTGAAATATCAAATATATTAAAAAGGTATAATGACGCAAAATATTTGTAAAGATAAAGACAGACATTTGGTTAAGAGGGCAGTCACCTTAATAAGCTAAAGACCCACTGGCTATTGTAGCTAGCGTCATATCGTAATAAAGTCGTTGTCTAAAAAAATTTGATATGTAGCTATCAACCAGCTATAGATTTGTAGATATTTTGTGCTAGCTACAAAGCTACGATATCTAGCTAGCGACACATTCCTACAAAATCGCAATCTTTAAAGTTCGATTATCCTCAGAATTATAATAGACTCAACACTAAAAATTGAATTTTTAAAGATGTTAAAGACATTAGGAAATAATATCGCTATAAATCTTTATCTTTATCTTTATTACTAATAAATACTGAAATACTTATCACTAACTCTTTATAATTTATTATTATCTCACTATCGATCACGGATTAACTAACCATCACGTTGTTTAACTTCATTGATACTACTTCATTGATAGAATACAACAGAAATTTAGGAAACTAAACAAAGAATCCTTTAACAAAATAGTGTTAAATTACTTCCTTGTATTAAGTTGATAAATTTATTTAAAAAATTCAGATTAATTAGATTGCAGCACCAGAAAAAATGAAAAACATTTTTTTGTTATAGTGATCTCTTCAATGTTCCATTTAGGTTCTTCCAAGTTTATGAGATCATGTACTAGATGTGAACCTTTATCATTGTCTCTACTTGACAAATGGTTGGAATCCATCAACTTTTTCTAGATGTTCTGGATTATAAAATCTAACAGCTTCTCAATCGGCAAAGTGACAAATTTAGAATTTGTAAGTAAAACCTATTTTCTTGAAATTTTTAGAGTTCAGTTTTACATCAAATTCTTTTTCATGTTGTCTTCTATCTTTCTTGTGCTTTTCAAATGCTTTTACTGCGCTTTTAATTAGTTTCTCAGCGATTGGCAATGATACACTTTTAGCTTGCAATGCATTTAAAAGAGGGGAAAATTTATGGAGTATTCTAACATGAGTGCCAAGTCATTTAAGAAATATTTATTAGACATCCGTGCAGTCATTCCTAAAAACTTTGCATTGCTGAAGAAAAATTGTGCTGCTCTCAAACTACACGCAGCCCATCTTGACCGTAAAACTCTAAACTTTTTTTGCTAAGCTATACACTGTGTTGAAAACTTTGCATGTTGAACTAATGTACTTCTCATTAGCTTTATCAATGCTTTTGGTAATGTCATCATGTTTACAGGCATCAACTTAATTTACACAAATCGCATAAGCCTTGGATGCAATATGTTCATTCTTTTTCTTTCTGAGGGAAGCTTGCTGGGTTATTTTGTTCTTCCCTGATGGTACTTGACACTTTTTCCATTCTATTGAAGAATGTACGCCTTTCAGATTCAGAGAATCAAATTTAAAAAAAAAAAACAAGCAACCAAGTTTTTTTGTCATGCATAATTAATCCATCATATTTTTGTTTAAATGAATCATACTGCTTCATACTCCAGCAGTCTGGAAGTTGTTGTTCTTGCTGAACAGCGTTGGGAGATGAGGTGGTACTCATTTCTTTCTGCAGCATAGTATTCTGAGATGAATCAGCATTTTTCGCTTGAAGCACTGCATTAGGAACTAAAATGTTAACTGTTTCTTCTTCTATTATAGCATCATGCAGGGATGCAGTATCAGTAGCTGAAGACAAAGCATTCTCACCCAGAGTATCTGTAGTTCTTCTTACTTTCTGGACAAAGTTGAACATGCTCTGCTTTCTTTCCATTTTCAGGATTTATTCTAAGGAACAATAAAAAATAAAACATGTATTAATTTAAAACTCTTTCAGATTTTGGCAATCATAATGTCTTTCGAACGCTATCAAGCATTGTTAGTTTATTAAAGTTGTTAATATTTCAATGTAATACGATGTAATATCCAATATTTTTAATTTTAAGAGATCATTTGTGTTTTGTCTTTGTCAGGGAAGCCATTTATATTGTGTGACAACTCCGTGTAAGTAAATATTGCGAGAGTGCTATATTTCGTTACGTTTTCCGAGGATTTAGTAACCGGTTCGCAGAGTTACTGTCCAGGATCCGGTTCTTGCAAACCAGTGCGAACCGGCTGAATCCCACTACTGATTTTATTGATGATTCATCCAAGTTTTATACCATGTATATTTACCTATTTGTTGATTGCTCAACTTACCCCACACTATAGCTCAACTTACCCCACTCGGACAGGTTAAACAGCTCCGCAAACTTTAGGCAATCTTCTTATAAAAATCAAAAACTTTACTTCTTTTTTCAAACCTTTAGCAGGTTAAATTATCTATCAAATGTTGAAAAAGTTGTGTAAATCCGACGCACCGTTTATGAGATCTGTTAGATTTAGTAAAAAACGCTCAAAATTGCCCCGTTCTATACTACTAAATGATTATTCAATAAAAATTCAAATGTTTGATTGAATCGGAACAGGAAATAGCAAAATAATTTATTGATGAATTTAGAAATGCTTCACTTGAACTAAAATCAAACAACTTTAACCTCGTAAACAAAAACATTCATTCCATGACGTTATTTTCGTTATTGCTGAATGTATTGAAAAGTTACAAGTATTATATTGCAGGGTTTTTAGCAAATGGCAGGTGATTATAAGATTCTGAAAAAAAAAAAACATTTGTAAGCGCGAAATATGCAGAGTTAAATTGAAAAAAGAAAATTTACAAAAATTTACTAAAGTTATATTTAGAAAATGTAATAATCTAGTTTATGTAAATTTAAAGTTATATAAATGTAAAAAATTATTTCTATATAAAGTTACAATACGAATTTATTCAAAAAGAAATTTTTTCATTAACATAACATTAAATTTACACAAATTAGATAATTACGTATTTATATACAGTTTTAATAAATTTTCGATACGACACTTGTATTCCAAAATGCTGACAAAGTGTCAAAAAAGATAAGTTAAAAAGATAAAGGTTTTCAGTCGAAATTCATTTTACTTCAGATTTTTTACTCTTTTCAGTAGGTTGACACGAGATAGACGTTAAAATTAAAGTTTAGCAAATTTAAAATCGTATTATTTGTCCCTATTTTCTAAAACTTTAGAACACTTTAAAATGAGAGGGTTCTAAATGTTATATGGTCGCATTTTTTGAGCGCCAAAATTCACTTTTGATGAAGTTTTGACAAGTTATAAATTATAACTGTATCTAAGATAAAGAACTTTTTTTTCAAAACACAAGGATACCAAGGGCGTTATTAGAGAGTATTTTGGTTTCAATTTGCAAATCTCGTGGTGTTTGCGCTAAAGCTAATTTTTATCTATTTTTAACATCTAAGCTAATGTGAAGAACAGGTCACGCTCACTGCATGTTTATTGTACTGACCTGCATGTTTACTTTAACGACCTGAATGTTTATTGTACTGACCAGCATGTTTACTGTACTGATTAAAATGAGAGGGTTCTAAATGTTATATGGTCGCATTTTTTGAGCGCCAAAATTCACTTTTGATGAAGTTTTGACAAGTTATAAATTATAACTGTATCTAAGATAAAGAACTTTTTTTTCAAAACACAAGGATACCAAGGGCGTTATTAGAGAGTATTTTGGTTTCAATTTGCAAATCTCGTGGTGTTTGCGCTAAAGCTAATTTTTATCTATTTTTAACATCTAAGCTAATGTGAAGAACAGGTCACGCTCACTGCATGTTTATTGTACTGACCTGCATGTTTACTTTAACGACCTGAATGTTTATTGTACTGACCAGCATGTTTACTGTACTATAATGAATATAGTAACTGAAGTGTGTTCTTTAGGAAATTGAATCTTTTTAAATCTTTTGTACATTTTAGTATTTATAGAGA